ACTGGTGGGCTGGGAACGGCCTGCAGCCAGCAATACAGCCCGCTCTATGCCACCAACGGGGTCATCTACAGCAACAAGTGCACCTTCTGCTCAGCAGTGGCGTGAGTGGTGGGTCACAGCCTGGGTGCTGGGATCTGGGTGTTGGTGTCTGGGGAGTATTGAGGCTTCTGGAGTGGCTGTGCTGTGCTGGTTCATTCTTGACTTGTTTTCTTCCCCAAGGAATGGAGGGGACATAGATCTGCTCACTGTTGGAAAATACCCTGAGGTAAAGCTTGAGAGTCTGCACTATGAACTGTTGTTATAATACGTTATACAACACAAATTCAATGAGTCAGAACTATGTAATAGCAATGTCTGCACTGTGCTGGTGTATTTGTCCTGGAAAAAGGATTTGATGAAAATAGCTCAAGTATGTCAGGGTCAGGGGACGCAGAAAAAAAACCCTGGTTCCAGTGTCAGCCTCACCTGCACAGCTCCTGATAGGGGTTGATGTTGAGAGCATAGTTCAGATGGTGTCTGTGCTAGAGGTGCTCGCTTCTCCTGGTGAGTGTGGGGCTCATGCAGCATCAGCTGTCATTACATGGGTGGGAGGACTTCATACTGTGCCATTTGAGACACACTGCTTCTTGGCAGCCCCTCTGCTGGCTGCTGAACCAGAGCAGAGCAGGCAGCGGGCAGCCAGCTGGGGAGGCTGCTTTGGCTGTGTCACTGCTTCTGAGGGTAATTTTAGCAGATCTTTCCCTCTGACTTCTCACTTTGTGCTCTGCCGAGCAAGTGCATTAGGATTTGCAGAGTTGCTAGAACAACAGGGGCCTGCACCTGAAAAAATGTTTTTTTGCTTTGCCATGACATAAACGTAAAGCATTCATGTAGGAAAACACAGCAAACAAAGGCTTCTCAATATGTTCTTGCTCCATTACCTACAGATTGACTGCAGTGAATTCAAGAGCACCAATGTGTACTGCACTGAAGAGTACATGCCCCTCTGCGGCTCTGACGGCGTAACGTATGGGAACAAATGCCACTTCTGCATTGCAGTTTTGTAAGTACAGTGCTCCCCATGCAGCCATGAAACCACTGCTGTGCTGGAGTACAAAGGCAGAAGCTGCCAGGGAGCCCTTGTGCTCCCGTTATCCCCTTGGTAAATCTGTCCCCATCCCCAACCTGATCCCAGCACTCCCTCTGCTGTGCCCTCCCCAAACACTGCAGATCTTGAACACAGGTGAGCCTTATCCTCCCCTCGTCACTAAATTCAGATTCTCATTTGCAGACTCATAGCACTCCCTGTGAGAGTAATTTGAATGCTAACTGTGGAAGGAGTATCCAAAATTACAGGGTTTGTCCCAGATCTCTTTAACATGACAAAACGTGTAACCTGGGGAATCAGGAGAGAGGTGAAGATGTAACTGAAACAGCATGAAGCATTGGCTTGTCCGTGTGAAGTCAGCAGTGGCACCATCAGGGTTATAAAACCGTCTTCCATGTCAGTGATTTTGGCTTTCTCCTTTCTCTGCAGGAGGAGTCATGGATCTCTGTCTCTCCAGCATCATGGAGAATGTTGAGTGCTGGAGCATAGCCTTCACCCTCATTCACCTTTCACTTCTGAAGCCTGCAATTCCAACATGTTCTTCCCTGCTCCCTGTTGTACATTGCTTTCTGCCTTGACCTGTCAGTAAATCAAAGCCTGCAACTCTCTTTGCCATGGACTGGTGTGGTTTTTTTATTTATTGTTATTATTTTTTTTTTCCAGGGCAGAGGTAAAAGTCTTCAGGCTTTTAGGCACTTATCTGTCAGGCAGGAGAAGTTTTGAAATAAACCACAATAAAGACCAAAGTGCAACGCCCATCACACAAAAGCCTAAGCCCTCACAAAAGTGCGTCACCCCATTCCAAACCATCAGGAGAGGAAACATTGCTTTAAAACACTGCTGCTCTCCCCAGCTCTGTGTCTTACAGCACATAAATGGATTTGTTTTAATGGTCAGGATGGGGCTTTGTAGAAGCACGGAGCCTTGGAGGAAGCAGTGCTTTTGGGAGCCTTGGCATGGAGGAAACATGGCTTTGATACACCTGGACAATGGGGAAGTCTGGCAGCATGTTATAAGGAGGCTTATGGCAAAGGGAGGAGGCTACATCTCATAAGGAAGAAAATTAGGAACTGTTGCTTCCTTGAAGGGCGTGTCCCTTGAGAGTGTGGTGATCAGCAGAAAATTGCATCCAGCTGGGCAGGGCTGTAATGAGCCTAACGAGGAGCAGAGGAGAAACTAGATTGGGCTCGTGTTTCTTGGAAAAGAGATCTGAAAAGCTGCACTAGGAATGTTTGAGGCAGAGGAAAGAGAAAGGACTCTTCAGGAAAAGGTTTGGGATTCTATGGGCGTAGGAAAGAAAGGGCAGAAGGTGTGCTTGGAAGATCCAAGGTAGTTTCTATCTGCAATGAAAGATGATGTATGGGTGATGCATGCGAGCATTGCTATCTCTTTGGGTGAGTCAAGGAATGAGTATGCAAACAGGCGAAAAGTCCCAAGTGCCTCCACTCATGTCACCTTCCCCTTCCTTTCTCCACCTCCCATTCTCTCATTACGTAGGAAGACATTCAGCTGTTCAGGCTGATAATGAGGACAAAATCTGTGACTTCCAAGCTTTTCTCTGGCTTTATTTCCTGAAATAGGCTGTATCTTGACCTAGAAATCTTATGGGTGCTTCCCACCAGAAGGTGAGAAGCTGTCCTTTAATAGCGTGTCAGGGCAGTGCTCCATCTTAGGAAGACGGATGGAACTTTGAGATGTTTATTCTATTAGTACAGGCAGTATAAACCACAGTGTGCTCTGTGCCTGCTGGTGAGGAAAAGTAAACTGGAGAGCTGTGAGTGTGCTCCCTGCTAATCTGCCTAGAAAGGAAAAGAATAGCCAAGAAATAGCGTGAGCCACTACTGAATGTGAGCAGAGACCTCTAGTGAAGGACACAGCTCAGCTGTAACGTCTTGTTGGCCGGGAGGTTTGTTGAATTATCACAGAGCTGTAGAGTTTTGGTCAGAGCAGGAGGGTGCCTTCAACAGTAAGATCCCATGGTAGGTCTCTTCCACAGCCTGGCATCTGCTCAGGACCAAATAAGGCTTTGGAAAAGTTCAAAGAAGGGCTGATGTCTTACAGGGAAAGGGAGGGCAAAAGACGAGTGCAGAGCATGTGTCTGTACAGACAAAAACTCTTCAGAAAATGGAAAAGGTTTTTATCAAGTAAGCCCAGAGGTTGGCCCAGTGCAGGTAAATACTTGGCTAGGTAACAGTGAGGCTCTGCCCAGCCATACCCATTCCTCTGTAAGGCAAATCCCAGGTGCCTTTGTCTTGTCCAGTCCTGTTCCGTTCCCATTTTTTCTGAGAAATCAGAGAGACTGAACTTCCCCACCTACAGCAGCAAGCAGCTCACTTCATAGGCTAGAAGAAGTGCAAAGAGGAGTGAAAAGGATAATCACCACTTTGCTAATTTAGTCCCTTCCTCCCAGCCCGCAAAGGACTGGTCCCTGTGGTGTGTTTTCTAAGGCTTTTCCCAGTCAGCTATGCTGTAGCAAATGAAACCTCTGGATAGCTATAGAGCTGAGTATTAGTGCTGGGGCAGCGAGCAGTGTCTGGAGCTAGAAAAGGCAAACAAGGAATTCTGCGAGTGGCAGAACTAAGCATGATTTTGAATGGCACTGAGGCTGACGGACTTGTAAATTATATGAGAGGCTGTGTTGTGAGCTCACCCTAATAGACATCTGAGAACTCACCTGTCAATCGCGGTTCCTCTGTTATGTGGGTTTTATGGTGTCTGGTGAGCTGCAAACTCTAATGCTTTCCCAGGTGTAGGGCGGTTGTGGCATTGCTCTCCTACAGAAACTCTCACTTGCTAGCTGAGGATGTTTGGGAAGTCCTTGGTTGCTAGAAAAATATATTAAAGTGCATTTTTTGTTTGTTTGTTTTCCATTCTTGTGTGAAATTTTGCTGGAATCACAGAATCATAAAGGTTGAAAGAGAAACTCTGGAAATTATCAAGTTCAACCCCTTGCTAAAGCAGGCTTCATACAGTAGGTTGCAGTTACAAAATTTGCTAGGGAGATGAATATGAAGATCTGTCTATAAAGAGTGTTCCCATAACACTTGTTTCTTTAGGAAAGCATGCTGAAATTTTAAAGGCTGTGACTATCTGAAGAGATATTTTGCAAGTGGTGCAACCAAATGCTACTCTTGCTGGAGAGATGGCTGGAGATGGGTTGATGGTTGGCTGATCTTACTGGTCTTTTCCAACTTTAATGATTCTATGATTCTATACTCTTCACACAGAATCAGCTGGAAATAGAGTGAGAGTCTCCTGATTCCCCACCAAATTCCTATAATTGATGCTAGCTGTGGAAGCAGAGCCTGAGTGTGTGTTTGTGAATGTAAAACTGGAACTATAGTTTAAATAGTTCAGGGAGGAGAGGCGGCTGTCCTGTGTGGGACTCTGCACACGGCTATGAGAGCATCGGTGTGCTCCTCCACCCCAACCCAACAAATTTAGAGCCATCCTCAAAAATAGCCAGAGAACAACGCATAATTGCTTTCACAGACAACACATTCTCATGCTGTGATTTATTTCGTAATGTCTGGTGAGTGTCATCACGCCGTGCTCAAAGCCTTGGAGCTGGCATTCAGCGAGGACCCAGAGAATGAAAATTACCAGCTTCCCCGATGAATCACCACTTTGAAAATTCACCCTTGTGAGAATCCTGTGACTATTCAGAAAAAAAAAAAAAAAAAAGATATTACAGGCCCAAGTTTATCACTCATGTAATTAGCCCTTTCTAAGTTTGATGTGGACAGGGCGGCATTCCTAAAGCACCATAAACATGGCCAGGACCAATAATGGCTCTAGAAACGAAGTGGAGAAGTTCTCACAATTAAGGTGAGGAATGAGGGCAGCAGCGGATAGGTACATAAATACACAGAGGCAGGGCCATGAGCACGCTGTGGGCTTGTGGCTGAGACAACACCTCCCAAACTGGTTGATTGCTGGGGACTAAAAGAGCAGCATGAAGGCAACAGGCACCTCGGTGCTCCTCAGCCTGCTGCTGCTGCTGTCGTTCTTCTCGGGTAAGTTATATTTCTGTAGCCTAGAAAGAAACTTTATGACAAGAGCAACTTCGGGGAGCCTTGATCACCGGATGACGGGCTTGAAGAGAAAGCTGAGCAAGTAGAAAATATCTGTGGGACTTGCTTGCTCGCGTCACATATTTCCATTCCTCGTGTGCCTCCGCAGTGAATAACACTGTGGAGGTGTCACTGGGAGACAGAATGAGCAAATTGTAAGCAGCTCGTTCAGCAAATGCACCAAAGCAGAGTGTAATCATGAGTTTTGGTAGAAATGTTTGCTGGGGAGTTTTGCTGAACCAGTTAGAGAAGAAACTCATACCTCAGGGTCATCAGCTCCTGTTTTGATTCTAAGCATTCGGTAGTTGGTGTTTTCCTCAGAGATGTGGCAGCATAATTAGATGAAAGTTTCAGCTTCCAAATACGTTGCAGAGGAAAGCTCGAAAATTAAATTCAAATGTCCTCAAGGAACCAGAACAAAGAGGGCAAATTGAAAGGATCCAGCGTTTATTTGTCTTGAGGTTTACACATCTCTCTGTTGGGCTGGGGAGGCTGGCTGATGGTTTGGGGAGGTGTGGGGCACATGGGTGCTCTCAGTTCTCGTGTCCGGCTGATCCGGATGTGGAAGCGTTGTGGTGGCCGTTATTGAAGACTGCAGATCAAGAATTGTTTATACTTGTTTTTCTGTGAATAATTTGAATAAAGAATTCACTTGAGAAAATTGCAGGCTGTGCATGGAGAAAAGAGGTGAATTACTTTGTACACATCATTAATTATGAAATATTCATCTGTCTTTAATTGAGTCTTAATTGGGACTGGGTTCCGTCAGAGTGCTAAATCTTCTTTCCAAGGCCAGGCAGAATAGCAGCAAACTGTGATCTCAAATAAAATAAACAGATGCCAAGAGACATTCTCACAAAGTCTTGTGTAGATGCATGTAATATTTATAAAAATTATCTAATGAGCTATTTTGTAAATAATATGCAGATAGCCCTAATGGCTGCTTCCTCGTTCAGCCTAGCTGAGGATGTGACAGATACACAAATGGCAAGGATCAAACACTGAAAGGGATCACAGCAGGCAGAAGCTGGGTGAGGTGATGGATACTGGTCCCGCTGAGTGATGCTGCAATGCTCCCAGCCTGCGCCCTAACCAGAGGGGTGTCCCGCTGCAATGTGCCCCAGCTCCTGCAGAGCTGTGTGCAACCCACTCCCTGTCAGACACCACAGGATCCATCCCATGGCTGTGACCTGGCCCCACGCAAAGTTTGCAGGCTGGAAATAGCAAAGCGGATGGACTGACGGTCTCCAAGCCCAGAGCCTGTGCCTGCAGCAGGTATTTTTGCTCTGTCATTGTCTGGCACTGCCTGTTCTGCCCCAGATCATGCCAGGCTATCCCTTTGTATCTCATCCGGATCAGGCTGTTCCAGAAGCCTCAGGGCTGTGCCGTGCTGCAGATGGCTCTGATGCTGACTGCAGGGTCTCCTCCTCCATCTCCCCTGTGTGCTTTTGTTACCGTTCTGGCCAGTTTTGTAATTCAGAGGTGCAAGAGCCTAAAAGCCATAAGACTCAATGAAGCTTTAAAATCTCTGCTGAGAGAGGCTCAGCTCTGACATAGCTCCCTGCTTTCCTGGTGGTGGCTGCCTGCCAGGGAGATGGGTTTATGTGTCTGCGGTGCAGTTAGCAGCTGAATGACTGATTACATGGTATTTTAGTAACATTTTTCAAATAGCAAAATACTGAAAAGCAATTCCGATAATGTATTTCCTACCCCTCCTCCACCACACAGAATGGCAGAGGAGGGAAAACCTGGTGTGTGTTGTGCTGTAGTTTGTAAAGAGATTTGTGACTTTGGTTCAGTTCTCTCAGAAAATAAGGCTAATGTGTATAAAATCTTTGTTTGTTTGTTTGTTTGTTTCTATTCTAGGTGTAGCAGCTCAAGACATTGAAGAGGTTAGTGCAGCTCTTTCTGCTTTCTGAATCTGCATTTTCTCCTGGCTTTTCTAAGAAGAATGCTTTTCTAACAGATCTTGGTACATGCTGAACTGCTTTGGGTTTTGCTGGGAGCAGGTGGGTTCTGCCAAGGTGCCCCCGTGCTTCGGAGTGCTCACGCAGTACAGGGGTGTTGGCTATGGCCACAATAGCAAACAAGTCAGGGGGATGATTTAGCTGGTTTAGTACATGCTCCCCACGGTTTGATCCAGCACAGGGCTGTGCTTGCAGTATTGCTTTTGTCTGTTTGCTCCTCCATGAAACGAATGTGAAATCAGGAGCGATGTACTCCTTTAAACTAAATCCATAACTGGGGCTTGTCCAAATGCCTGTTCACTTCGTAGAATCATTAATGTTGGAAAGACCACCAAGGTCATTGAGTCCAACCAGCCCATGCCCAGACCTCTGTGTATGGCAGCCCCAGGCCACGCAGTGGTGTGAGCTGCGTGGTGCTGGGCGCTGATGTGGGGCTGCATCAGTGCTGATGCTCTCCCTGTGTGCCCAGGTGAACCAGCTCATGTCCTTGGGACACCAGGGCTGCCCCCAGGTGGTGACAACTTCCCTCCTCAGCCACAGGACAGGATTTCCTCTGTTTTGGCCAGTTCTGATGGGACTTCGTTTTTCAGTAAGCAGGCCATGCCTCACTGCTGCTTCAGGCCTCTGGGTGGGAAGATCACATTAGTGAACTTGTTTCCTGCTTGGAAAGCGAAACCTGATGGTTTATTGTGGTTATTATTTTTAATTTCCTTTGCAGATCTGCAAAGAGTTCTTAAACAGGAGTGTGTTCTGCACCAGGGAGTCCAACCCTCACTGCGGCACGGATGGCGTGACGTACGGCAACAAGTGTGCCTTCTGCAAGGCTGTGCTGTAAGTGGGGGTGGTGGGACACAGACCCACACAGGGATGGTCCACTTCCAGCCCCACACTGCTGCTCCCCTCACAAAGAGCTGTTCCTGGCCGCAGAGTCATAGAACTAGAGAATGGCTAAGGTTGGAAAAGACCACTAAGTTTATCTAGTTCAAATGTCAGCTCCTCACCAGCGTGCTTGGGAATATTTCAGCTTAATATTGATTCGTTTCTAGGCTTGGTGTGATGCTCATAGCCTTACAGAGATGGCAGAGGGCCTGGGAGGCCATTGCACCTGCCTGGACCTCCTGCATGGGCTAAATTGATGCTCATTTTCCCCAGCAAATATGGGGAAAATGTATGCCACAGGCTGAAGCTCTCCCTGTCCACACCTCTGGATGCTGAAGTGTCTGGAGGAATGCAGGATTATGCATGCCAAATTATTAGAGGAAAGTCATAGACTCATAGAATCATAGATTCCTTTGAGTTGAAAGGGACCTTTAAAGGTCACCTGGTCCAACACCCCTGCAATGAACAGAGCAAGTGCTGAAATGAAAGTCTGAATGGACTTGGTGGAAAAGTACACAAAATCTCAGAGGAAGGACTGGAGTTTCTGCTCTCCTGTCTCCTCTAAAGGAGCTGTAATAGGAGCCGACACCTCTGGACTGAAGGCCTGCAAAAAAATTGATTTATCCTTATCAATCCTGCACTCTGAAGGCTGCCTTATCCTAAGGGAAATTAGAGAAGAGGGAAAGATGGCTTGATGCTCCCTGTGAGGCACCAGAGTCAGGCAAACGATCTTGTTCAGAGGGACAAGCTCCCTATCCCAGCTGCTGTGTCTGTGCTGGATGCTATACACTGCTTTGTTTCCATACTGCTCCTTTTACAGGAGGAGCGGAGGGAAGATTCGATTGAAGCACATGGGGAAGTGCTGAGCCTGAGCACCAAGCACTGATCCTCGTCGGTCACAGGCGTAGGAGCCTGGGCACAGCAGCAGCTGTCCTTGTCTCTGCAATTCTGCTCAATAAAATAAAACTCAGCACACCTCTTTGGCTGGATTCCTTTTTTCATAACACCCAGATAAGCTTTTCATGCAGCTGTGCTAGCAACTGAAATGTTTACCGCACTGTGCTGTTACATCATCATCTTAGAGTCATAGAATCATAGAATTCCTACCGGGAGGCTCCATGCTGCCTGAGCAGGAGCAATGATTCCCACAGCTCTGCCCTCCCTGCCACTGCCACAGCTCTTCCATGCCATGCCATGCCATCCTACTGACCAATGGACACACGGCCGCCCTGCTCCATTGTCCCATGGCTGGGTGACAGCATGCAACTTTGCCTCTCACTGGCCTCCCCAGATGTGTCCCTCTCACTGAGGTGTGAGCATGAAGGTGGCAGAGAGCTATGAGTGGTGTGGCTGTGGATGCCTCATCTGCTTGGGAAGCCAGAAGCAGACAGGATGAGGCCGAGGAGTGTTACTGCATTTAAGCCTGCGCCAGGAAGATGGCAGGGGAGGCTGGCTTTAGGCAGAAGCACAAAGACTTCACTTTCCTTGTTTGTCCTACAAGAGGACTGCCTCAAAGTAAACTCACCAACATTAGTTTGCAGCTGCACACAAGCTTGATTTCTTTCTTTAGTTTTCACACTGCTGCTCTCTCTCTCCTTGATGCTGGCTGAAAAATCCCTTGTGCCAACCAGAGAAAATTAAGTCTATAGTCTCTCCCAATTTGCTGTACAAAACATACACACGGAAATGCTTGTGGCATCCCCTCGTTAAAACGTTGGCAGCACATCAATGGGACTCTACTCACTTAATGTTAAACACTTAAGTTTCAAAGGGAGCTTTAAATTTTATCATGAGGTCAGCCAACTCATTTTGCAAACACCTTTACGCTGAGCATCTCAGCTCCTGGATGGTGTTTGGACAGAGCTGAGTGTTTGCCTGTGGTGCTACACCGCAGGCTTTGAAGTGAATTGGGACATTATATTTTGTAGCCATGGAGAGTTGCAATTTGCTTTGTTCCAAATTCAGATGTTTCTTTAGTAAACATAACAGCTAGGCGTCCAGAACATGACAAGATTGAGGGGAGGAAAAAGCAGCTCCTGCCTGAGGACAACTGATCACAAAGGACCCCAGTGAGTTGCAGGAGGACCTTTATAATCCTCTCTACTGCCTGAATTAGGATGAGCTCTGCATACCCTTTCCAACTGGAGTTACCCCGTGAGCCAAGTTGTGGCTCTGAAGTACCGCTGTATCTCAATACAGTTTTTCAGATGGAAAGAGACACTTTAATGAGGGGGGGATATGGGACATTTCTATGCCTGAGATGGCTCTCAGTGACTCCAAAAGCCTCCTGGTATATCCCCATGCCTAATCCTTTTTAAAATGGAGGCTGAAATAACAAGGACAGATCACAAGAGAACAGAAGCGGGAGACTTCTCTGTTTTATAATCAGCCTGCATTTTGCTCTTTCAGTGCAAACAGCAAATAGAACCACCTCTGTACCCCTCCACACCCAACCACCACCCCCAGCAACACTGTGGCAGGCTGGAGAAGCATGGCTCTGCCCCTGCTTGCCTCAATCGGTGCTGTCAGCACTGACTGTAACCAGGGCTCTCCTTGGCCCCAGCTGGGCTTAGCCGTGTAAACCTCCCAGTGCCTCAGGAGCTGGCTGGTGGTCTCCTCCATTTTGCTTTCCTCCAGCAGCTGTTCCCCTTAACATGCATACAAGTGCCTGAAGCAGGAGCGGGCACTGCAGAAGGTGAGCTCAGGCAAGGACATGGCATGTGGGGATCCATGGTGTTGTGCAATGCAGATGATGTTACACACATGCAAAGCAGATCTCAGCAATCGCCCAGCGACTCATAACTGCAATCACAGAATGCAATTGCATCTGGAAGTATAAAAGCACAGTGATACCAGGAAGCTCTTGTTAATGGCACAGCCATTTTGGAGCAATTTGCCCAGGTGGGGAGAGCCCTCACAGCACCTTCGGTCACAGGGAGTGATGTGATGCCCACATGGCTGTTCCCAGCCCCCAACCCAGGGAGACTGGGGTCACTTAGCTGTAACCCTTTGAACACAAGGATGGTGAGACAGTCCTCCGGCCTGGATGAGGGAGATTCTTTGGGATGTGCATGGAACTATCTGGGCTGAGCTCTCGGCTGTGTCCAGTTGCAGTCCTGAGCACATACTGAACCAGAAACCAATCATTCAGCTGGTATTTTTCCTTTAATTTCCTTCCTCCACATTTTAAGTTGTGGGATTTTTTTTTTTTTTTTTTTTTGACAGCTTTGAAAGATGAGTGAGTCACAAAACACTTGAGATCTCTTCTCCATTAGATAACAGAGCAACTCTGCAGCTCTTCCTCTCCCTAGGGAGGGAGTTCCTTGGACCAAGGGCCAAGGCTGGATGAGAACAGCCCCAGCACCACGGTGGCTGCTCCATCACCTGACACAGCCCCTCTGCAGTGAAATAAGAGAAGAATTACATCTCTGCATGGCTGCCGTCACTGAACAAAAAGCAGTGCTCACAGCTGAGCACCCTGATGAAGGGGAAGGAGCATCTCCACATCTCCATCACAAGCTCTGCTCTGCTGGTGATGCGGCTGACACCATGGTGTGCCCTGACTCCTGGCCCATTTAACTGCTGTGCACCAGTGCCTCCTCCCCAGCATAGTCCTGTGTCCCTGTCACAACTCATTGGAATCCTTTGTCCTACTTCTTCCCTTGACATTCACAGCTCTTGATAAGGCTTTTTGAGCTACTGCAGGATGATGTGGGGCGGTGGTTCCTGCTGCAGTGTTTCCACCACACAGCTGGGCAGGGAGCTCAGCATTCGGTTGTTGTTCCAGTTCCCAGGGGACTGGGACAGATTGGACAGGACTTTGGGACTGTGGAAGAGTATCTCTTGAAGTCAGGGCAGATGGCTCAGGGCTTTGTCCCATCCGGATTTGAAGACATCCAAGGGCAGAGAACACGCAGTCTCCCTGAGCTGCCAGTTCCAGAGTCTGACTGTCACCATGGTGAAGACTTTTTGCCTTCTCTCCATTTGCAACCTCTTTCCTTTCAACTGCCCTATCTCCCAGCCATGCACCACTGGGGAGCCCAGCTGTGTCTGGTCAGGAACCCCCTTAAAGAGCCATGGCATCCTCCTGAAGTGTCCATCTCACCACTCAGTCCACCTGCCTCAGCAAGTGCTCCAGTCCTCAACTCCCATTTTTCATTATCTTTCTATCACTGGTTATGGGGGGGAAGGCAGAGCTGTGGGGCCAAGAGAAATGATTGCTCAGGAGACAGGTGGGAGAACGCCATTGCAAGGCACCGAGAAGATATTAAAAGTGACATTTGCAGGAACAGTAGAAGTTGGATGTGTGTGTGTTGGATCCTTTAAGGATTAGAGAGCAGCTGAGCTTTGGGATGAGAGGGTTCCCACATGCTGTGAATCAGCCAACAGATCCCTCCACCCCATTGTTGGTGGTGAAGTTAAATAGAGGCCTGGGGGAAACATTGGGATTGGGTTTTTTTATGGACTCCAGAGCAAGGAGAAGGTAAGGGGGTTGTGTTTTAGAATGGGAGTGGAAGAGTTTGTTGGTTTTTCCTCTCCCCAGAATAAATAGTGTGGTGTAGGAGCGTCTCATTGGAGCAGCTGCACTAATTGTGGCTGGTGTTAGCGTCCTATATTGTTGCTCCAGAAATGCTGGAGCAGGCTTATAATGGTGTATATGTATTACCACAATACATCAAGGGAGAATAGGGGAGATAGATACAAGGTGTATGCCCTTAGAGAAGTGGGTGTCACTTAAAGAAGTACTTGCTTTATAGCTCTAGTGATAGCTTTGAGATATTCTGAACCTGTGGGGCATGAGGGGACCAGAGCTTCAGGAAGATCAACTCTAGGGATTTCTGGAGGTAGCAGGGATAGAGCCTGAATCCGGGCCTGAAAGACAAGGCTGAGATCTGCCGGGCCTGGGGTGCTGCTCTGAGCAACCTGTGGCCGGCCGTAAGGAGCAGCATTAGTGGCTGCAGCAGGGCTGGCCCTTGTGCCCAACGTGCGGGGTAAGGTGGGAAATGTAGGTGCTGCGTAATGTGGTGCTTCTGATCTAAAACGGCTCTGTTAATTAGGAGAGATGTTGGTGTTGTGGAAAGGGCTGGCTGTAACAGTTCTGGCTTTTTTCCCAAAGAGCTCTGCGTCCTTCTCTGCAGGGTAATACGTGATAAAAACATCGGCGGTGACTGCGCTGCCCAGGGCGCATCCTGCAGTGCTGTCAGCGGCACTCCGCTCGTTGCCGGCTACGGGGCTCCCCCTGCTGACCGCCGGGCGATGGCCAGGAGACCCCGGGGCCGCTGCTGCCCCTCGGTGGTGCTTTTCGGTCCATCCTTCAGGAGCGGGCAGCCCAGCTGTTCTTGCAGTGAATTAAGCAGCTCGGTGCAGGAAGGCGCGGCGCTGAGCCACCCCAGCAAAGCGCTGCTCGTCCCGCGGCTCTGCTTCGGTAGATGCTCTTTGCTTGGTAGCTCCTTGGTCGTTGTTGTGGCCAGTGGTTACTCCAGCATCTCTCGGGGTTCGGTGACGTCCCCGCAGAGCCTGGGTTGGTGCCCGTCCCCGTGGTGGCGGCCGGCCGGTGCAGTACCGGCTCTGGGCGCTGGGTGCTGCCGCAGACCGAGCGGCGCTGCGCGGCTCCGGGGCGCTCCTGGAGCGTGAGCTGAGCAACCTGATAGAAAATAAGTCTTGTCCAGTGATAAACATCATAGTGCTGAGCTCTCAGACTGTGCCGGAGGACTAAATGGAGCTGCGTCAGGGGGGGGTCAGGTTGGGGCTAGGGAAAGGTGGTACCCCAGAGGCCGGTGGGCGTGGAATGGCTGCCCAAGGCAGTGGGTGCAGTACTGAGCTGCCGGAGCTGAAGGAGTGTTTGGATTTTGGGTGCTCCTATGAGGGGGCAGGTGATGGACTCATTGATCCTTAAGGGTCCCTTCCAACTTGGGTTCTATTCAGTGAATATTGTTTATGTGAATTCTACTCTATGATCTTGTTC